GGCTCTCTAAGTTAGCTTTTCACAAGCTCCTCGATCAGGCAGAACAATAGCTGTTGGCACAGATGAGAACACAGCTGGAAGGAGCCATGGGCGAGGTAGGAAAAGAACGCATGATTAAACGATCTCACATTCAAGGTCTGTCTGAAAGCCCAAGGAGGGCTTCGACTGGTTTCCATGTGTTAGCCAATCTGATGTTCTCCATCTGTTCCGGGCCCTGGAGGCCGGCATTAAACACAGGGCGACTGTGCAGCAGGTGCGGGGAGGTGGGAAGGTGTGCACAGCATCTGTGAGAAGTGGGGACCCCAGGACATCTCAGAGGTGGTGCGCTGTGGTACTCATGACGCACTGTGAGGCACGACAGCCAGTGCACTCCTCGTCAAAGCACTTCAATTACTTGCGTATTGTTCCTTTAGAATTCCCAGGTCCTGCACTACAGTTGCTGCTCCAAGAAGACTGGGGCTTGCTTTGACACATTGCCCTTTAATGCACTTCATTGGCTCAGAGTCAACTGGAGTGTTGCTGAATAATTTCCCAGCTTACTGCTGTGAGGTGGGGTTCTGTTCCTGCGGGTTCTCCCTGCCACCCTTGACATCTGTATTAAATTGGCTTCTTATTGGCACCTTTTGGATCTCCAGCATGCCCCTGGAACCATCTCGTTTTCACCCTCCCTGAACTCCCCAAGTGCGCTGGCCCCGTGCTGCCCTCCGCACCCCTCCCTGCACCTGCAGCATGCCCCTGAACACGGCCGACAGGCTGTTGGTTGGTGCAATTCGGCCTTCACCGGCTTGTTCTGTTTTAAGATCAAGATGGCTGATGAGAGACTCACAAAGGGCCACTCTGAAGATTTGTCAGCATTCTGCCGAGGGCAATTCTTTCTTGATGTCAACATATGAAGTGCGAAGGACCGTACAGGAAAGATACACCCTCTAGCTTTTCCTTACCAGCAGTTTCTTTCCCTGTGTTTGCAAACCTCCTGCAAGACCGGAGACTGGCTTCCTCCTCTCAGGAATCTCTCCCTGGTCTCCTCCTGTCCGCACCGAATCCAGCAGCTCTGCGTCACCCCACCTCACCTTGGCCATCCAGGCCAGCTTCAGCCCCCTGCCCCAAGTGTACCTCCACACGGCCGCTTCGGGGACCTCTGGAAGGCACGAACCAGCTCGTGCTCCTCCCTGCTGGAGGGCGTCTGCCAGCTCTGGTCTCCTTGGACATCAGACGGACGATCGTCAGGAAGGTTCCACATGCTCTGACCCAGCTTCCATCCGCTTGCCACCCACCTCCTCCCGACATCACCCCATCCACCCTTCACTGTCCGCTGTTCGCCCTTGTTCTTCTCCTGCCCCTCACGGTCTCTCCAGACCTCTCCATTGCCAAATCCTCACTTTGCTCAGGTTTTGCTCATAGTTGCCTTCCCAGGAGATCTTCCCTGACTAGAGAATCTAAAGAAGCACTAACCATCTCCCCGCCTGTGTCCTTAAACTTAACTTGCTTGGAGAAGGGCACTCGCTCCCCGAGAGGAGACAGCAGACTCTCCACCCCTTCCTTCCTTCCTTTCTCTCTCTCTCTCTTTTTCTCTCTCTCTCTCCTTTCTTTCTTTGTTACAGCCAATCCCAGCAGCAAGGCCTTGGTCAGTACAGGTATCCCACCTTTTAAACTGTGTTAATGCAAACACACATCAGAATGGAACCAACCCAAACTGTCTCTCCACCTCACCCTTTCACTTTCATTTTTGTACGTCATTCTCCCTTTCCAGAACTTACAATACTGAGTTGACATATGAGGCTACCGGAGTTGTCTGGAGGTTGGATGGGGACAACCGCCCGATTCGAATTGTGTTAAGATTTGCTCAGTTAAACCTCCACTCGATTAAACTGGTTGTTTTTTTCTCTTTTAACAAAGTCTAAACCTGGACAGTTTCACTTGAAGATGCCATGGAATGAAACAGCACTCGCTCCCTGAAAGGAGACAGAGCAATTCCCCCTCCCACCCACACAACCATCCAGAAGCTAGTGCCACACTAACTTCTCGAAGGGACATTCTCCCCAAGAGAGTTAAGTTTAAGGCATGGGTCCAAGACACCCTGTTTGGGTTGGCTGGTACTTCTAGCAAAGTGAAAACAAAGATTTTTTTCCATCTACCTTCTTTCTTTAATCAAATTCCATGCATTTCCGCCAGGGTTTTTGGCAGCACGAAGCCCTACATGTGTTAGCACTTCGCCTGAAATATCTGCTTATAAAATTAGACTTTGGCTTGTTATCTGTGTGTGGTGGCATCTTGCCCGTCCTAATACCTCATTGGATTTTATTTATAATGAGCTGTATCAGAGATTGTTGTCAAACTAATAAATCTTCAGAGGCCCTGCCATCCCAGCACTTGTTCCCGTGAGAGACTGTCCCATGAAGGACTCAGGTCACCCAGCATCAGGGAAGCCTTGCCTGGCCTAGAGCAGGATGTGGGTAAGGGAGGACAGCCGTAGCTATTAAAGTTAGGGTTTCCAGTTCGATTCCTTTGGACTCTTTATTCTCATGAGGAGGATACCGACTGCACACTTTAGCTCCTCTGGATTTGAGTTTATTTCGACTTTAACATGCAAAAAGATTTCAGTTCTGTATTTTAGTTTCTCCCCAGGGAATTTTTAATTGAGGATATGTATATTCAAATGTGAGGCTGTGTTGTTGGAACTATATGATCAAAATACATTTGTGCATTTGAATATCCAAATATTCCATGTGTCATAGGCTCAGTACAAAATTCTCTGATAGGCTGTACGAGGTGATGTGAGGGACATTAGTGGGGCGCTAACAAGAAAGGGGTGGTTTTTTCTGGTCCTGGGTAGAGAGTGGTCTCAAATAAAAGTTTCCCACTCCTGATCCTGAGAAGACCCATGAAAGACAACCTTGTCAGGACAGCCTCAGTAGAGAGGTGACCAGATGTTGGCCAGAAACCTCTGTCTTCACCATAGACAAACGACTGTTTACAATGGTTAAAAATATGAAGATCTGGGAATTAATGCGGGGAGGGGAATTTCTTTCCTACCCCAATACCAGTCTCATGGGGAGCAGAATAGCGGCCTCCCTCTTGCTCCGTCACTCATGGTCAGTCCTCCCGTGTGCTGTGACTTGTTCAGGTTTGGAGGGTTTTGAACGAGATTCTCGAATGGGAAATGCATAGCTCAGCCCCTGTTCGTCCCTTCTTTGGTACTAACAGCAGAAATGGTGCCACCCTGTCTGCTCGATGATGCTGTCAGTTCCCCGGGGCAGCTCCAGTCAGCAGCACTGATGTGGCCTGGAGTCGCCTGTGAATGGGCGCTCCCTGGTTTTCAGGGTGAGGATGCCCTCTTGAGCACAGGCATATACCACATTCTCTAGTTAACTTTACCAGCAACAGGGTACTCAGTAATCTGACTTTAAAAAAATAACCTTTTTTCCCCCCAGTGGATTTAAGTGGAAAAAGACATGCCATCCTGAGGCTACAATATAGTGTCTTGTTTCTTGGCTGAAAAGGGAAGGCAGGACAATTTTTCACTCTCAGAGCAGTTCATGGAAAGCAATGGAAAATTAAGTAACACCCATATGATTGTTATGGTATAAAAATATCCTTTAGAAAATAGAAATGTTCCCCATGTGAGGGAATGGATAACTGTTTCAGAATACCTTGGAGGCCCAGCGTGGGCAGCAGTGCCACAGTGCTCTGCAGTGCTGGAAGCCACGTGGGAACACAGGGCTCTTCCCCAGGGTGCCCTGCATGTGCCAGGTGTGTGTGCCTGGCTAGGAAGGGCCAGAGAGAGGATGGTGGCGTGAGACCTTGTTGGGGATGTTTGCCTTTTACTCTCTCTCAAAATAAGTAAATAAATAAACTTTAAAAATATTGCTTTTTTTAAACGATTGATTGGACCAGCAGATGGTGTGGTGGTTAAGGTGCTGGAAGCCACATGGCCAACTCCATGTGTTTGAGTCCCAGACCCAGTAACCTGAAAAACACGTTGTGTGCATGCACGTGCATGCTTAAAACCCTGAGGGGAGGATGGAGAAAGGGTTGTGGCCATCCCGCTAGGGGGTGATTTCTCACTTTCCCTCCCTATCTCATTCTCTGTCTCTCTCTGGTGAGCACATGTGTCCTGTGACAAAAAATATATGCAAAAAACACCCCAGTAATTGATTAAAATCTGATTGGGGCCATCAGATGGCTTAGTGGTTAAAGGGCTAGACTCCCATATGGCCAACTACAGTTCAAGTCCCAGACCTGGTGGCTTGAGACTCAGGCCAGGTGTGCATGCAAGCCCAAATCTCCCAGGAGGAGAATGGAGGAGACAGGATTGCAGTGTGGCTATCTCTCCTGAGGGTGATTTCTCATTTTCCCTCTCACTGTCTTTCTCTGTCTCTCTCCGGTGAACACACGTGCCCTATGGGAAAAAATAAATGGAAACTATTTGAGCAGTACTTGAGATAGCAGCACTGCTGGCCTCCAGCTACTGGTCTGTTAGCGTCATCCCGCTGCCATGGCTACACTTAATCCATCCCACCATGTCACAGAATGTTTGTTTTCCACATTCCCAGCCCATTAATACCTCTAATCCAACGGTTCCTGGTCGTATAACCGGTGAGTGCCATTTGTCAAATGTTCCTGACATTCTCTGCATTTAGGAAGCCAAGAAAAGACTCACTTCCCAAGAAGCAGATTTGAGCTCACTCAGATCCAGGCAACTGTCTCTCTCCACACCCAGATAAAGATGTCCCGTAGCTTCTTTGTGCCAGATAGAAATGAGCCGATACCCTAAGTGAATTGGTATCTCGTTTGGGAAGTGTCCACCTAGTGAGCAGATTATGGCACATATAATATCTGGTTTCAAACATTTTGAGACAATTGTGGAGAGCTCTTGTACCAGAGTGATACAGAATGATATGGAAGACAAAGGAAGAGTGAGGAGGTATAAATCATAAGCTGTAATACTTTGGTTTAATGAAAAATAAAAATAACATTCTAACAATTACAGCAGTCTTACCATAAATAAGTGGCCCTTGATACAAGCAAACTGCTTTGGAACATCTCCTGGCGATACTGTCCAAATGTTTTCCACTCAGGCTGTGAAATCGGACCAGGTCTTGCAGAACTCTCAGACCCTATGATTCTAGGAAGGTTATTTTATTCCCATAAGCAAAACACAAGTAACTTTGAGTTCAAGTTTTGGAAGAGAAAAATTTAATATATTTTATCTTATTATACATTTCCCCTAAATTACAAAGTTAATAGCTGCAAATATATTCTGCTACAAAGCTTTCTGTAAGAAATATCTCTATAAGAAAATACATCTCATTAACATTTCCTGTAAATAAATTACTTCAAATAATAATTTTCAAAAGGGTGAATATAAGGGAAATAATGCAGAGGCTAGAATGTAAATGTAATTGCTGTATAGGAAATGTGGAACTGAAATGTTTCATTTTTATGTCCGCTAGCTTATGGCGACCTGTTTGTACAAAATCGACTCTTGGATAAATTAGCATAGAATGTTTGTTTTTGTAGACATGCAGTAAATGTAAATCTTCAATCATTTTGGTTAACGTATGTGGGAAGCTGAAATTCTTAATAGGTACACAGGCTCAGATTCAATTTCTGCTGGAACTCGAATTTGAGACTGCAGGTGGGGTGTAAGTAAAAGAAAATTGAGGGTGACTTGTGGCCTATCAAAGTTTAACATAACAGTTATAAGATTGCCTTGTTTTCCTCTTATGCTCTAGACATATTATTTAAAACTGAGTTAAGTAAGAAAGTAGCCAATGGTTTCAAAGAATTTAGAGTCTGTGACTCTTACAGATTAACGCTTACAGATTTTACAAGTTATGAATTCATGGTTTTTAACCTCAGTGGCTAGATAGAATAGAAACTGTATCTTTGGTAAAAATACCAGCTGTCACAGAGAGAGGTTAGTGCAGAAAAGTCAGATGGTGCTTTCGACCAGCTAGAAGCTTATGGAAGGCAATGAACTTCACACACTGCCTTGGGAGTCTGTTTCATGAGCCCTCCTCATAGCAAGATTATTTTAGGACCTCAAAGATATAAAATAAATATTTTGAGGAGAGTAAGGGCGAGTGACCTTACACTGAACTCGTCTGTGCCGTCAATACTGCAATAGCAAATCCCCCGGAGAAATTCCACTTCAGTTGTGTAGCCTCTGGTATCAAAGATGAGAAGTCAGCTTGTGACTCAGACATGCGATCTATGTGTTGCCAAAACCGAGACAGCCTGCAAAGTTCCCCCTCTCTGTGGAGCTCTGAGCAGTACAAATGCAGCCCAGTCTCTATCCTTAGCTCTCCCCAGCTCTGCTGCAGAGGGCACGGGGTACATGTACGGACCAGTCTGATTCTAGCAAAGCACAGGGCGTGTCAAAACTTAGGCAGATAGGGATCTCGTCATTGGCTTGGTTTCCCATACATTTTTGACATTTCCAAAGTTTTTGCAGTCTGTGAAAATTATGTCCCATGCATGGATTATACTCATCACGATTAATGGGTGTGGTTTGGAGAATGAAATTATGCAGGGTTGTTACCCCAGTCAAGAGAGATGCAGTGTCATTCTTTCAGCATCAGAAGGGACTGCTTTAGTCTCTTGCCAGTTCTTATTCACTACAGGTGAAATTAAATTTTTGAAAATGTACATATGCAGTTTTTGTTCTTTTCCTAAAGGCTTTGCTAAAAGTCTTGCCGTTGTTTTGAAGCAACTCGGAAAAGACCGTTTCTCCCCCTTGTCTACCGAGGCCTTTAATCAGTGAAGTAGTGTCCACAGTTAAAGGGCAACTGTGTGCACAACGTAACTGACGTCCAGTTCTCCTTCTTGTCTAACAGCTCTGCTCATGTTTGCAGGCCGGGCTACCCGGGGAGCATTTTGTTACCGCTCCCCTTGACTGGAGTGTGGCTTTTATTTTCACAGGCAATCACCAATCTAAGAAAACCTCTCTTCCAGCACGACCTAAACTCTTGGAGAGTCACATGGTATTTGTCGGTAATTTCCACTGTGTGCTTTTTTTTTTTAATAATAGCATTTTCACAAGTGTGTACATTATTTACACAAAGTTGCATGATGGAAGCCTCTGGTTGCGTGGCCTTTGCCGCCCATCCTAACCCATTCGGCTCTCTCTCTCTGACCTACATTCTCAGCACGTTCCTCCTTTATCCTCTGTATCCCAGACTTATTGCCCATCACGCTATAATGCATTAAATACACAAATTCACAGTCTGCTAGCGGTGCTTCTCCTCAGTGACAGTCAGGCTTTCTGACACACGTGGAGCCTGGCTTTGGAGGAGTAGGTGGCATCTTTCCACACTTTGCAAGACAGCCCCTTTGCACAGTCACACCGCTGGAAGATCTCTAGCCCGCGAGCGCCCTTCTTGCGCTGCTTGGTACAGACTTCCCCCTGGTGCAGCACTGGCTTGCAGATTTTGGTCCAGAAGTGGCGAGCACAGCAGAACCCGTCCATGCAGTCTGATGAGCGCAGGCAGGGGTCACCTTCGTGCCCTGCAGAGAGGATGACCCAGAGGCATTACCATGACACTTGACGAAAAACACAGCTCTGCGATCAGAAACACATGAAATACTCCTTCTTATATCATCTCCCCTGATGGTACCATTGATGACGAAAGGTCACGGATTCATGCCAGCAATCACATAAATCGATTATTATTGGTTTCCCTTGTTCGCCATCTGAAAATCAAGTTTAATGAGCAGCCAAAATTGTGTTTTATCTTCTCTTTACTCTGTCATGGTCTGCTTTTAGATATTTCCATGACTTTTTTTTTTTTAAATAAAGAATTATTTTATTTGACTGATTTATTTATTTATTTATTTATTTATTTATTTATTTATTTATTTCATATTAATTTAACCAAAGTGAGAGCGAGAGAGAGAAAGTGAGAAAGCAAGCCACCAGGTCTAAGTCTCAAACCAAGGTAGGTCATGTGGGAGTCTAGCACCCTAACCACCACACCATCTTCCAGCTCCCAACCATTTTATTTTTCTTACTAGGTGATTAGAAAATAGCAAAAAAGATTGTTTCCAAATGAATTAATTTCATATCTTCTTCCAAGGTCTAAATAAAACTCTGATTCAAGGAGAAGGCTGAAATTCTCAGACTCTACCAAGCCTTGCAACCCAGCCAAAAACGGAAACTCTGACTAGTCAGAACAGAGGATACTTAATGCAGAGAAGGGGTCGTGCAGGCCGTGGCAGAGCTGGGGGACATTGTGGTCACATGGGAGTCAGCTACAACAGGAAGCCACTGCCATGTTTAGGCTAGAGAACTCCAAGGGGCAGGTGATGCCAGAATCAGGGGACTGGAATGTCCCACTCTGCTCAGAATCCCGACACAGGCCCTTCCAGCAGGAGCTGAAGCCACAAGGAGACACACGTACTGGAAGTGCAGCCCACAGGGTGGGAGTGAGAGAATGTGTTGGTATCCTCCCTCCCTCTGCCTCTCAGTCTCCCACCACAGCCAAACTCAGACACATCGACAAGGAGCCCAGGAAGTGCGGTCTGTAGAGAGCGGTGAGGCAGAGCAGAGCAGAGCAGAGCAGAGGAAGGGCCTCGAGCCATGCCAGGGCGAACAGGCTCGGGCAACCCGGAACCTGATGCAAAAATCACGCAGAGGCACAAACTGGGTACTTTATTCAGAAAAGAAGGTGAAGTCAGCAAATAACCCCCACACAGAGACTGGCAAACTTCACTGTGAAGTACCAGACTATAAATAGAGGAGGGCGGCCAGGCTGCCCAAACTGTGTCAGATCTGCCTTTGTCCTGCAAAAGCTGGCACGGGCAGTGCCTGAATGGAAGGACGGTGAGCCAATAAAACAGGGGAGGACAGAGTGGGCTCACAGGCCACTCCAGATGGAGCTAATCCTGCTGTGTGATGTGAACAGAACTCCCTTAAGGTCACATAAGATGTCTTCCTATTTGTCATGGAAAATTGGATACGTGACTAAGAAGAATAATTAGCACATTTGGAAGTGTACTGTGACATAGTCATAGCACGTAGACAGTCATAGTCCTCCTGAGTCCTTGGGAAGTCGTGATGCATCTTTGCACAGAAACATGCTTCCTGACTTTCCCCACGACCTAATCCTATTGGCTAGAGAAGGACGCACATGTAACAGCAAATGCATGAGTTTTGTGGGATGGAAGTAGAAGATGCAGGAAATGAACGTAGGACCTTAGAGTGAAGAGAAAAGGTACCTGGAAACTGATCATTGGCCAGTCTCTTCAGCACTGCCCATATGACCGTTAGTATTTCAGGCCAGACTAACAGGTCCAATATCTCCTAAGATGCTAGCTCTGCAGAATGTGAAAATATGGGGAAGTGGTCTCTGGTCAAAGACAGGGGAATGAGGTGTTTGAAAACATTAGCCAGGTGGTTACAGAACCAGATCCCACATGGCCAACTGCACGGCTTGAATCCTGGCCCCAGTAGCATGAAAACCATGGTGGGGCATGCGTCTGTGTGTGTGCCCCAAATCCTGGCAGGATGGAGAAGGGAGGAGAAGGGGTTGCAGTGTGATCCCACCCCATTGGGGGGTGCTTTCTCCCTCTCCCTCTTCGTCTCTCTGGCAAGTGCATGCATTCTGCCAATCAGTCAATAAACCAATGAAATATTAACCAGTTTTCCTCACTGCTGGACTTCTCAGAGCCTTCAGTACGGCGGTGTCTATTGTAAACTCCCCAAACTGCACAGGTCTATTACAGCGCAGCTCTTGTGAATATAGGGCACTTGTATTCACACAGCAGCTCAGCAGAGAAGAACCCCAGCAAATACCCTAGGCAAAAGCCTCCTTTAAAAATGAAGGCGTTTCTGCTTTCTAAATTGTTCTACTAGTGATTAGGTTTCAATACTTTCATACTTTCAAATTTTACTACTAGTGATTAAATTTCTTAAATATTTTTGTATAAGGAAGGAGATTATATGGACATACATCATTCCATAATAAACCAATTATTTTTGGTAATTTCCTTATGAGTAGCATCTTTTTTGTATTGTATGTATGTGTTCAATTTACTATACAGTGAGTGTCTCACCAGACAGAGAGAGAGAGAGAGAGAGAGGAAAAGCATCCCCCAGTAGGGATAACACTGCAATCCCTTCTCCTCCATTCTGCTCTCTGGATTGTAGGCATGGCACATGCACACGCACCCAGAGTGTCCTCCAAGCCTCCAGTCCGGTACTACACAAGGCAGACAGCCATGTGGGATCCAGCACCTTAACCACTTTGCCACTGACTGACCCTCATCTAGCTTTTAGTGAATTAAAATATCCGAATCTGCAAAGGTGAGAAAGCAACGCCAAGACTTAGTGATTTAATCATGTAGTAGCGAGTATTTTGCCATTTGTTTTTCAGGGTACTTTCTCCTTTGTTCTGTGTGTGACATAAACATTTGTGGCGATTCCTTCTAAATGTCGTATACGAAATAAGGCCTACTTACAAAGCAGCGTAACTGATCTTAGCAGTAATATTCTTTTACTATTATTTTTCTCTTCTATGACAGAGTGTGAGTGCAGTACCTGAGGGAGGGGGAGAAGCACGCTTCCCGGGCCTGGTCACCCCACCACCCCTCCTCAGCCCTCCACCCTCTGGACCTCGGGCACTCGGCATGTGCCCAGTGTGTTTCAGGCCGGTTCAGACTTCAGTTGCCCTGTAGAGCCTGACTTCCCTTGGGCAGCCAGACTGGTGTCGACACCACACCCTGACCAGTCTACGGTTCTCATATTGCCTATTTCTAACTGCTCGAGATCTCTAAGGAATCTCGGATGTCCTCAAAATGAAGAATTAATAAATTCAGTTTTTGCCATGAACATATCTTTCCTATGAACATATCTTTCCTATAATTGTTTTTCTAAAACCAAATAGAAGTATCTTATTTTTCTTTTTGTGATTTTAAATTTATTTATCTTACATTCATTCGCTGGATATCAAGGAAAGATAAGCACAGCACCACAGACGGCTGTCGTACCTTTCATGTGTGACATCTTGGTGTGTGGTCTTCCCAGATTCTGCCAGCCCAGGTCATGGTGTGGGTAGTGCCCGTGGTTTCGCTCTCTGTGCCGGGCGCCTTCCAGAGCTGGGATGTGAGGGGTTAAGATGCTCTCGGTGACCGGGATACAGATGCCTGAAGAGGGTCAAGCAGGCAGTTAGAACGACTCAGTCTAGCACGTGGTCCTTCTGCAAGCACCCTAGCTGCTCATCCCCTCACTCTTTCTGGTTGCTGAGATTAAGTGTAGTGTGAAGCTTCTATGATTCGCATCTCATCGTTCTCCAGACCCCAGTGACCATGGGCAAAAACAGGAATAAAAACAATTCATTTCACTGAGTTATTAGAATATGTGGGAAGTAGTTAAAAAAGAAATAGAGTAGAGAATTAAACTAACTATGAGTATTTTTACATCTATTGACAAGACATCCATCCTCGGGACCCGGGTTTCTCTGTTAGTTCACAATCCACTCCTGGTCTACACTGTGAACTTCTCTAATGGACCTCCTGTCCAAGGTGCTCACTGTAGCCCAGAGGTTAGGAACAGGTATAGGAACAGGAGCCGGACCATGCCGCTTCGTCCGACTAAGCATGTGTTCCTGGTTACGCTCTGTGATGCCGTGGGCACCCCTGTTGTCAGGGTGACTTCACTTCATCATGGATGCTGTCTGGCCTGCCTGTCAGTTCCCTGAGCTTGGTGAAGCTGGGCTCGGGGATAGAAATGCTAAGTTGCGGCAGGTTCCTTTCTGTGGTCCCCCTGCCTGTGGTCACCCATGTGTTCAGAACGTCACCTGACTCTATCTGCAGCACTCCACCTGGGCAGGGGCTGAGTTAGCAGGGAGGGTCGCAGTGTGCAGAAGACGGCCAGAGCCGGGAGACCAAGACCTGAGAGGTTTCCCGACAAGCTTACACTTCCTCAACCAAAATCCAGTCTTTTCCAACCTGGAAATGTCTTTATTTTTAGGAGTTTGAGTGAGAAGCTAGCCTGACTTGGGAGAGAGGCTTCCCACAGCGAGGAGGGCCCACGGCCGGCGAGGAGGGCCCACGGGCGGCCACACCACGCACCGTTGCTGCAGCGGGTGCCCGGGCAGCACATGCCGTCCCGGAGCCAGCGCCTCTTTTTCCGCCGACACGCCATGCAGGCCGACGGTCCTTGGTGGGGACTGTGGCAGTACCTCCCGACTTCGCATTCCTTGTCGCTGCTGCAAGGGTAGGCCTGTTGTCAAGCAGAGCACACAAAAGCGAAACGTTAGAGCCTGTTCCACTCAGGAAGCTCCACTGCAACCCATCAGATGGCAAACCGGCTGTGTGTTCCCTCCGGCAGGAAACACCCAGTGAAGTCACGTTCTGAACACAGGTCCTCCATGGGACACGTATCAAGAGCCCTGATACAGTGGCTGCTGATGGTGACGAGGATAAAGTTGTACTATTCAGGTACGTCATCCACAGTTTGGAGTGAGGTTTAGACCTCGTGTTGACTTGCAGAACCGCCAGCACACAGCTGGGACTGCTGCATCGCGGCTGGTGGAAATGGCCATCCCAGCCACGCCAGTGCTCACCCGCTGGAGGAGGAGGGGGAAGACGGGTTAAAGCACCTGGCGCGGTGTGAGAAGCTAAGGGCAGGACGCAGCGTGCAGAGAAAAACAGAAAGACGCATCCTGACTCTTGACGACCTGACCACCCCCTGCCCGATCATGGGGAGGACGTTCCGGAGCGTTTGCTTACGGCTCCTGCCGGCATGAAGCCAGGAGGAGGATCGCTTCCCTAGAACTCAGGCCAAGGCGGTGTTGGCACAGAGACTCCGAGGCTGGACGTCCTCCTTCGGAACGTGCTGGGGAGCTTCAGAGAGCGGAGGGGAGCGGCTGGGGATGCCGGCCAGAGCTCTGGTCACCTGTGCGGGCAGCACCTGCTCCTGGCATCCTGATGGCCCAGGTGCGCCTTCCGTTTCTGCACAAGGGCCTTCTGTTTGGACCTTTCTCTACCAGGGCTACTTAAGCAGTGCCATATGACATCTCAAAACCAAAAGTTACACGTGTATCACAGCGTCTGTAACACATAGTGTATGATGTTATAATGTGCTACATACGATTATTGTATGTGTGCTATCTTTAACCTGTATGATGTGTTATAACGTGTTATTGTTACACACGACTACTATGTATATGTATGCACGCTCCAGTTACGTATTCCTTGCCTCTTGGAAGCTTTTGGAGCATTGAAACTGCCCCTATTTGCAGAGACTGAGAACTGAGAAACTGCCTACCACACTTATTCATATTTTGAGGCAGAGAGATTAATTAGTAAGCTTTTATTTTCTCATGGCTTTTGGAGGAATCGTGATTTTTTTTTAAGTTGAAAAGTATGAGCTAACAATCTCTGTGCTTGTGCCGAGGCAGGCCGAAGTGCTATGAATTGAAAGCTCCGGGGTAAAACGTGTGTGACTCCGGTGCGTAGAGCGACCTGAGGGTGTTGCTTTCCAGAGGGTTCCACAGCTAAGGCCACATGCGTGGCCAGTTTCGTCCCTCCTCTCCCCCTGCGCCCTCCTTTCCACTGCCTGCTTCCTGACGAGTGCACGTTCAGGTCCACTCAGATCTGCTCAGACTCCTTTTAGAGCTGATCACCATCAGCTAGAAGGGGGAAATGTACATGCAGTTTATGTGTGGGTCTGAGAGAAAATCTGTATTTTAGCATCATTACGATCTTGTATTTACTCTTAGAGAATGACACAGAAACCCACTAACTTCGAATTGCAAGCAGTCATGAAGGATGGCACAGTGGTCACATTCGACACAGCCACTGCGACTGATGTCAGGTAAAGCTATAAAATCAATGGAAGCATTATTGTCCCTTCCTGTAACTCTACCATTAGGGGGAGTGGAGTTGTAATGAGCTTCAATGCAGGGGGCTAGGCCATTTCTCAAGCACCCCCAACTGATGAAGACAAAACAAATGTCACTCCCCTCCGTACCATACTTTCCCCCAAGTATTTTACCCCCTTCATTTTAAAACCATTAATTTTCATTGAAATTCAGTTCACATGTTTCTAATTCATTTACATTTATTTCATCAAATTGTTTTGCAAGAAGCATTTGATGTCTTACAAGTATTTTTCCTTCCTCAAAAATAGGACATGTTCTTTCAACAGAAACAAACACGTGCCACCTAAAACGTCATGTGCTATTTACGACTCGCCCAGCGGGTCCTCGGGGGGTTCCGAATATAGACCAGGGTTTGCCTCCCTCCCTGCACAGATAGCCAGAACTGCAGGAAGCAAGTTGCTTGCTGAAAATAGCAGTTTCTTTCTTTCTGTAGAAAGCGCAAAGTCATCTTCCCATTCCCAGCTAAAGAGAAATAGACAAGACTGACATGCCAGGGCTGGCCGGTGGGGTGGGGTTAAGACGCTGGCTATCACGTGGCTGGAAGCACAGCTAAGTCCAGACCTAGCAGCCTGAAGATCATGACAGACTGACAGATGCCGGGTGCACCTGCAAGTGTGCCCCAAATCCCGAGAGGAGACCAGAGAAGGGGTCGTGGTGTGGCCATTTCCTGGGGGTCATTTCTCTCTCTCCCTCTGTCTCTGGTAAGCGCATGTGCTCTATAGGGCAAAAAAGAGCGAGCGAGCGAGCGAGCGAGCGAACACTGGACGGTGAATGTCTGACACAGACAATATTGGGATAAGTGCGTGCATAGCAGTCCTTTCTTTGAGGTCATCAGATTCTCCAAATGTAGTTTTCTGAGGGAAGCCCTATTTGTCTAAGGCAGAAAATATACTAGGGGGTTTGTGTGCAGTTTGTTTTTATTGTTGTTGTGGTTTTGTTTCTTTTTTTTTAAGAGAGGGCTTTTTGCTACAGGGCATGTGTACTTGCTGAAGAGACAGAGAGTTAGAAAGCAAGAAATCGCCCCTCCAGGGGAAGATCACACCACAGTCCCTTCTCCTCCATTCTCCTCTTGGAAGAGGATGCGCACACGCCTAAGGCGTGAGTTTTAAGCCACCAAGTCTGGGACTTGAACTGGAGTCGACTATGTGGGAGTCAAACGACGTAACCATTAGGCCATCTCCTGGTCCCAGGATGTGTAGTTTTACTGCACTTCAAGAAATCATTTTTCCCCCCTATTTCTAACCCTCTGCCACTTCCCATCCTCCTCCCACACTGTCTCCGGTATCTGCAGTCGCTTTCCATTCCTTTAGTCTTCCCCACATTGTATCGATTCACAAAATATCTTAATTAATCTAAAGACTCTCAACAGTAAGTTCAACTGATATATCCATATCTGTGAACAAAAGTGGACTTTAGGCACGAAAATCTATGGGTAGAATGAATACACTATAAAACAGCACATAGCTGAGGCTATATAGCTTACTGTGGTCACTAAATAGGTACTTTTTAATTTCAAGAAAGGCCATTTTAGCTGTAATAATGTTAAGAGAATTTTGCTTAATACTTAAAGCCAGGAAACAGGTTAGGATTGTGTTTGAATAGTAGGTACATGCCCTGTCCCCAACTCGAGAGAAGACCAAACTCCTTAACACTGGAAAACAAAGCACAGAAGGTCAGTCATGTTCTAGTCAAAAGTCATACAATTCCGTTTTACCAGTTCAAACTCTTGCACTTTATCTTCTTTGTGGTCCGATCTTACCGTTTAAATCCTGGAGGATAACGTTCACCTCTGGGCTTGTCCCTGCCAATAAGCTGGCCATTTTCTTAGCTGTTTAAGATCTCTTCTCCCTGTGGGTCTGACTTAGTTTTCCTGGGATAGCACTGCCTTTGATTACATAGGCAGAAACGTTATGCAGAATTTTTTTAATATCAAAGTTTATGGGTACTGCGGACTCATACTTGAAAATCCCAGAACATATTAGGAGGAACTCTTCGAAAATGAAAAAAAAATTAATAATAGAAATGTAAAGTTAATATTACATAGTTTCTAGTTTGCTAATAAAACTCTTGCATCCAGGAGCCAGCAGGTGGCGTGGTGGATAAGGTGCTGGACTCCCACATGACCAACCGCAGTTCAAGTCTCAGATCTGGTGGCTTGAAATTTATGCCAGGTGCGTGTGTGCGTGTGTGTGCCCACAATATCCAAAAGGAGAACGGGGGAGAAGGGACTGTGGCATGGTCATCTCCCCTGGGGGTGATTTCTTGCTTTTCCTCTCTCTGTCTTGCTCTGTCTCTCCCCATTGAGCGCATGCGCTATGCCCTACAGCAAAAGCCTGAAAAGAATGAAAATGAAAAGTCCTAGATCCAATAATGTCTTTCTCTTTTTTTTTTCTTTTTAAAAATTTGTCAGAGTGCACAAATGCTCACTGGAAAGAGAGAGAGAGAAGGCAATCAGAAAGCACCCCCATGAGGCTTTTCCATGCTGCAATGCCTTCTCTCCCATGTTCCCCTCCTGTTAGGGTTTTGGGGGTGCACACAGATATGCCTGCTGTGTTTTTCAAGCCACCAAGTCCAGGACTCAAACCATGCCATTGGCCGTGTGGGATCCCGCGCAGGTGCGTGTGTGCGTGTGTGTGCCCACAATATCCAAAAGGAGAACGGGGGAGAAGGGACTGTGGCATGGTCATCTCCCCTGGGGGTGATTTCTTGCTTTTCCTCTCTCTGTCTTGCTCTGTCTCTCCCCATTGAGCGCATGCGCTATGCCCTACAGCAAAAGCCTGAAAAGAATGAAAATGAAAAGTCCTAGATCCAATAATGTCTTTCTCTTTTTTTTTTCTTTTTAAAAATTTGTCAGAGTGCACAAATGCTCACTGGAAAGAGAGAGAGAGAAGGCAATCAGAAAGCACCCCCATGAGGCTTTTCCATGCTGCAATGCCTTCTCTCCCATTTTCCCCTCCTGTTAGGGTTTTGGGGGTGCACACAGATATGCCTGCTGTGTTTTTCAAGCCACCAAGTCCAGGACTCAAACCATGCCATTGGCCGTGTGGGATCCAGCGCATGCAACCTTCAGGACACAGTCTGGCCTAGTAGTCTCATATATGAGTAAAATCAGGAAGGAAGGAAGTAAATTGAACGAGGCAGACTTCAGGGAAAGCAAGTGGTATTTGAGGACACGACATGCCTTCTGAGATTAATGCTCCCTAATATGGATCTCAGTCATGAAACTCCTTTTGGCATAACATTAGCAAGAAAACGCAGGACATGAGAAAATACACACCGAACCCACTGATAACAATTGCCACGTTTTGGTATCATGCATTCTTTTTCTTTCACTTTC